GTAGGGATGTATTCAAATGTGCAGAAATGTCCCCATAAGTGAAATGATACCATGAAGTGAAATGGTGGGTGCAAAATGAGTGGCCTGGGCTATGTACATAAAGCAGCACAATTACAACTGTCTGCTCTGGATTTAAAACCTGCCTTCCAGACCTAACAGGATTCTTTAGTGAGGGCAATAAAAAAAGCTATTAGTGCATTCATATTTGTTTATCTGAGCCCTCAACGTACTAATAGCCATAGGAAGAGACAGCAAGGTAAAAAGTGCAATTTTCTTTCGCTGAATTTGATTCCTAAATTAATTTAAAGTACAGTGTAATGCTGCCTTAAGCGTAGCTAAAGAATTGTTGCAGATATTGCATTTAAATTCCAGTTGCAGGTTTAAGTAGGTTCTTTTTCCAGGAGCTGCTCTGCAGAAGTTGGCAGCACTACTTGTGCTAACCATGTAACTTACTTACTAACTATGAGTAAGGGTGTAAGGATCTGGACTCAAGCTTACACAAGTGATGATGTGTGACAATTTTCTGCTTCATTTTGACATGGTGATACGAGGGATTGGCAGGTTTTGGGACAGACCGTCTTTATCTGTCTGGCAGTCTAGGGATTTAAGCTGTGTCTATCACTCTGTCATTTCTGTGCGCTCAGACAGCATCTGTACCAAACATTCCCAGTTATGCTCTTCAAGCAGGGCTGGTTATCCCAGGTGGGACCCCTGGAAGAGCTTCATTTCCTTTACAGAGGAGGGACTTGAGGGGGGAGCAGAAGAAAGGGGATAAGAGAAAAGCACAATCCTGATGTAGGAGCTACAGCAGCCCCTTGGCTTGGCAAACCTTAAAAGGAGTTGCACTCGCTAGCCCCTGGGACCCTCCAATGGAGCCGCACTGCCCGGGGAGCTAAAAATGGTGTCCTATGAGGAACACTATTTAAAGAGACTTCCCTGGGTGCACAGCAACACCTTGCACCACCTCGTGCATAAAGAGAAAAGCTGCACCCCTCTTCCAACAAGACATCCAGGCCCCTCGCTGCTAAAAACCTGCATGGATCCACAAGGAAAGGATTTCCATATATGCTTGACAGAGCAAATGCATCCCAGGCATGCCAGAGCCACCTGGTTGGTCAATGCTGCTAGTGTGAAATCCTGATTTTCACAGTAAGAAATTTGACAACCTACGTTTTATGATGAGTTGAGGTTTGAAGCTCTCTACCTTGACAGAGTCCCTGTAACATCCGGTTTTTATGGGTACCTGAAGAGTCCTTCTGGAATATTAATGTTCTCTGGTTCTTTAGATGTGCATTTCAGGTATCACAAACATATTTTTATTGGTATTTGATGGCTGCTTCTTTTGCCAAGTGCTCACATCAAATTTATGAAAAGCTGTTTCTGAGCAATATAAATGTGGGAAATCCCTTTTGTTGAGACATGGTATTAATCGTGTTAGTGCCTAGATCTCTATGCTCTTCTACCAATGAGATGTACGGGTTCAGTGTCTGCAGTCAGCTCCTAAAAATACACTATCTTCTGACAGGTTTCATGCCTCAGAGGAAATGGCTTAGCCTGGTTCTTTAACGACCCACTGTCACTCCAGCGTTCTCTCTTCCTTCCTTTTCCCCCATGTGTTGCCTACACATTTGTATGGTTAGGACTAGATGTGTGGAAAAGGTGATGTAGGAACTGCCTCATCCCCAGCACCAATACAACTCACAGCAGCAGCACCAGGGATGCCACTACAGGTCAGGATCAAATCAAGGCACTGCTTAACATTTATGTGAGTGTATTCCCAGATTAGGAGCAATGAGCACTTTCAGTAATCTCCATTAATGACAGCCAGGTCTGTTTCCTGCTACCCACAATCATACATGAGAAAAAGGAGGCATGCAGCCTCCACATGGGCATCCCATCTCCTTATGTAGTCATCACTCCATGGAAAAAAGAGGCTTAACCAATCCACACTTGTTCATCCTCCCACCTTACAGTGTGGAGGTATTTAACTGGGAGTCAGAGGGATGCAGGGAGAATACAGGTACACCACTAGTGTATCTTGGTGGTGGACATGATCCTTTCCTTATGGCACAGACTATTCCAACAGGGATTACCTCCACACCGTGGAGGTCTGTCCAATGTCCAATTCTATGATTCTATGATTTAATAATTTTGATTCGATGCCTGCTGCAAAAAGGCACATTATAGCATATCATCTCATATCATCACATCATATTTTACTATATCATATCATCTCTTCAATGTATGCTCATTTGGTCTTACATTTGCACACTTATTACCAGCCCATTCCGACTTTCCTGCTTATTTTTATCTGTATGGACACTGTGCATGAGAGCCTATGGGTTTTATTATTACTTCCTTGACTCTCTGCTTTACCCGTCTCTATGAAAGCAGGTCTATTGGGATCCAGCCCAACCTCCCTGTCTGCCTCTGGTCCTCTCTCACTCATCTTCTCTCTTTTGTTCTACTGCAGACCTAGTGCCCCAGATTTGTATACAAACACGTGGTGGGCTTATCCCAGTCCCACCATGTGGTCAGGCAGAGAGGAATTCCCTTTCAGAGGGTATGTGAGAAAAGCAGGTTAATTAAGTGCAAAGAAGTCACCCAGAAATCTGACCCCATGCCCCTGCACCTAGAATTGCTTATTAATATTTTCCACAGATTGCTCCATTAGGTCTTTACTGACTTGAATTTGGTGCTTGAGACCTGCCAGTGTGATGACTCCAGAAGCAACAGGGCTGCCACATCCTGATCTGAGCTGATGCAATGCACCATGCAGTGGACCTGCACAGGTACAGCAAGTCTAACACATTGCAGAGCCATGGGCACCCTGCCTTGGCACGAGTCACCTCTGTATCATTTGTGCAGTGATTATGATGCCTACAAAGATGTTCGTTCCTGTGGGATCTCCAGGAACCTGATGGTTCATCACAAAAAACTGCTGGACAATAAATTACATTTACAAGCACTGCTCTTTCACTACAACTTTTAGGCCAGAAAGGTCATGTCTGAACACCTTTGCAAGGAAAAAAATGCTTTATTTCTTTACTATATAGTTCATATCTCCATTGGTGAAAACCACTAGAAATGGCAGAGGTCTGTTGGGTGTATCTCTTCTGGTTTATATCATTGGATGCCTGACCTCCAGCAGCACAACAGGAACTGAACTCATTTCTACAGAAGATCTGACCACTGAACACAGAGGTCTGGAGATCATCAGTCCTAACACTGGAAGAGTAGCTCTAGATCCCTCTAGACCAGTCCAATGTTGCTTCCTCCTGGTACGTAGACCAATTTGTGCCAAATATGGTGCTGATTTTTTCTCTCCTCTGTTGAAACCATGTGCAGGGCACTGGATAGTAGCTATAATGGAAAGATTTTAACCTCAACTAATGGCAAGCAGAAAGTGACAGACTCATTGTCTTATTACCAGTCTCCTTAGGACTGCACAGGCAATTATTTCCTTGAGATGGCTTCTGTGTACTAAATTACATGGACTATCTGCACAGACCAATGTCAGTTCAGTAAGCTGGGTTACCTCTGTCCCCGACCCACAGACTGGTCTCACTAACCTTGCAGTGGTGTTGACAGACTCCAGAAATAGCCATGGACAAGGTTTTCTTATTAGAAGTCAGGTCTGGGTCATATCAGTGGGGGAGGTGAATTGAAAATGACAACGGGAGCCCTCCAAAGGGGTCTCATCCCTCTCTATGCACAGTCCCAGCATAAACACCAGCGATCCCTTTTAAAGCAGGAGCTAGGGGTGCCCGATACCTTTTGTGCTTCCAGCCTCCCTACTATTCCTCCTCTCATTCCTTTGCTGCTAAATGAATGGCATGACTTTCTCAATGTTTTCTTTTTCCCGAATCTTTCTTCCAAGTTTTGATTTCATATTAAAGCAAGGGCACCAATCCTAGTTTATGTCATAATAGATGGACAACAATAGTGCAATTTAACTAAAATAACATACTAAACAGTGCTACATGTTGACGGAGTCATGATGGATATAATTTGGAGTGTTTTGGTGGTTTATATCTTCAAAGAAGAGCTGGCAAGTGTACAAAGTGGCAAATGTATTTAAGAATCTATGCCATTCAAATGATACCACCACATGTCTGTTTGGGATTTTTCCCATCTAAGTGTGGGAATACGGGCACGGATTCACTTGCATACTGTGTTCTTCTAACATAAAGTGTCAGCATCTCAGAGGGTGTGTCAGTGGCACTCGGTGTCACCAGAGACACATTGCAAAGGAGGCAGCCCAAATAAGTGTAAGTTATGTGTGCCAGGCAGCCTTCGTTTGTTTATTTCATACAAAAGGAGGGAATAGTGCTCAACGCATTCTTACTGGAAATTGATATCAGCAAGAGAAAGAGAAAAGTGCATCATTTGCATTTCGAGGCATTGCAAACCCCTATCCTAGCTGCAGCCCTCAGCAATCACATTGCAAAGAGATCAGATCTTGATGTGAGCAACAATGATGTAAAACCGCCACTAATTTGCATCATTTTGGCTGAATTATTCTGCATTTACACCAGTTTCACTAAGATAGAAGCTGGCTTGGGGTGTTTACCTAATCTATACATTTTGTGCCCTTTTCCCCTTTTATTTGCCACAATAAGCCACCTCCTTTGTTGATTACTTCTTATTTGTGGAATGTATTCATATTCTCTGAGTCCATCTGCTAAAAGTATCCTATTTAAAAGAAGATGGCATCATTAGCTACCCTCTCTCACTATAAAGAAAGGAGCAGTTCCCATATTTTTCCCCAGTTCAGTGGCTCAGTGGATGCACTAATCTTGCTGAACACTTCAGTTTAGATGGTATATCAATGAGGCATTCAAACAGAGCAGTTTATACACAAAAATTCTGTCTGCTTTGTAAAAGATTATCCTTTTATAAACACTCTGCGGAAAACATAAAAGCAAATAGGGGACAGCACATAGGACAGGAAAGATGTTAGAAGGGAGATTAATACTGAATGGGTCGAAATGAATGGTGCTTACCAAAACGAGGTCCAGATACTTTGGCTGCAGTGAAACATAAATAATGGGAATGACACATCGTTTATTCGGGATAATGAGTTGATCCGAAGTAGGGGCCTAGAACAAGAGATTAAAGATTAAATATCCATCTCCTGATGAATATCAGTAGCAAACTTTAACCTTTTCCTTCCAAAAGCACAATTTCTTTGAGCAATCATGTCAGCAGAACAAAGTGAAGAAATGGGCTAAAGCAAACTGCAAGCACATTCTTACCTTACCCTGTGAGAAAACACCTCTTCCTAGTTTGAGACAGAGAATTGTGGTTTTATTTACCAGGCTTGTATCTATTTCAGAATAAATACAGGAGAACACAAAGATTTTGCTTGATGTTTTGTATTAGACAAATCTGGCTTTAGCATTTATTGCTTACATTTTGGTTCTGTGCAATAATTGAAGAAAGAACATACCCCTCCTGAACATTCACTTGGGTGGAGTGATAATGGCAAAAAGCAGCCTGCTGGAAAAGCACAGCATACCACATGCCGAATTAGAGTCTTCAATGCAAGGAGGACTTGGAAGATGTCACAAGCTTTGGATCAGGAAGGGCTGGAAGTGTAGCAAAGGGGGGAAAGGCACAGACAACAGGGGACAGCAGGCTGACTGTACTGCAGTGCTGGCAACCCGTCCAAGCTGGTCAATTAGTGGTCCTTCTAGCTCAAGATGCTGTACTGCAACTGAGGCAGAAGACATAGGACAAGTGGGAATCTGGATAGCTGTGGCTTGCCCAGAACTTGGAAGAGAGCAGCTGCTGAATGTACACAGCCAGCCAAGCCCCGCATTGTGGTTTTGTTGCTGATGGCTGCCTCCTGAAAGAGGGATAAAACTGGGGACAGCGGGAGGAGGGAGAGAGGTTTTCAAATGGCATTCAGAAAACAGCCAGGCTAGGAGGCAAGGGTGACTTTAGCATGCTTTCACCTGCCCCATGGAAAGGGCTTCACTAGCAAAAGGGGTCTGTGGTTTCATTCTGCTCTCTAGGGAATGCGCTGTCCCTGTGCCAAACCAGCATGCATGTACAGTTGGCAGTTCCTGTGCACAAGAAGCCTAGGACTAAGAGCTGTGGAAAAGTATCCATTTTTACTTGGTAAATATTTGCATGCAAAACCAGATATTCCCATAGGTTTTTGTGAGGCTCTGTGAATTTGTTAAAAGGAAGGGGGTTTGATTTGTGCTGGGCGAGTGTGCATGCACAGACGCACAGTCCCAGTGAGGGCATGGTGCTGGCGGATGAGCTCACTGAAATGGTATCTCGAAGGACGCTGAGTACCTTTCGAGGGGGCAGGCCCCACATTTTGCAGAATTCACACCTTGGCACCAGAACAAGAATATTCCCTTCTCCCCCTGCCCCTTTTCACTGTGAAAACAGACTCCATTTGTTAAGTTTCCTTCTCCTTTCAGGTCAGAGACCTGAGTTTTTGCAGGCACCTTTCCTGCCAGGCTGTCCTGCAGCAGCATCACTCCACTGCCCTAATCCTAAAACCCACTGAAACCTCCTGCTGCTGTATCACAAGTGATACACAGAATATAGGATCTCAACTTTCAGGATGGCCAAATAAATGTAGGTGAAGGAAGAAGACTTGGGGTGCTGGACCAGAGGAGGTGGCAGAGCTGACAAATCAATCACAGGGGTGTGAAAACCAGACATATGGCTGGTTATCATTCCGGTCAGCAAAGACCAGGCTCTGGAGAGCAGGTCAGGTTTTCTGTCACTGCTTACAATGGTGAGGGAAGGGGGAAGTTCATCTCACTTGGTACCAAAGCAGCAGCCTTTGCTCTGGGGAACGAAGCACTGCTCTCCAGGGACACAGAACACTGTGCTTGGCTCAGCTGCTCTGGCTGCTTTCAGCACCCTGCACTGATTTCCAGCCAGACATGCTTTTATCCTTGAGATACGAGCAGCAACTTTCCTTTTATTCAGAAAGAAGCAGCCATTTTCCAGCATTATCACAGCGCTGATAATACATATTACAAACAGCAGAGCTGTGAAGGGATGCCAGAGCCCGGCGGCTGACTGGTGCATGACCTTAGGAGATGATGCCACACCACAGCGTGCTGGCCTGAGCAAGGGGGACCATCCTGCCCGGGCTGTGCGGCACTGCAGGAGGAGCAGGGCCGTGCTACCATGTGTGCTCCATCTCTCAGGGTGCCAAAGGGCTCCTCAGACAGGAAAAGACTCTCCCTATAACATCTGCAGGGGATATTTGAAGGATCCTACAGTGAAAGTTGTTGATCAGCATACATGAATCAGAATGGTTCAGGTTGGAAAGGACCCATCACTCCTTGTCCTGTTGCTGCAGTCCCTGAAGAAGAGTCCCTCTCCAGCATCCTTGTAGCCCCCTTCAGACACTGGAAGCTGCTCTGAGGTCTCCACGCAGCTTCTCTTCTCCAGGCTGAGCAGTCCCAATGTTCTCAGCCTGTCTTCATATGAGAAGTGCTCCAACCCCTGATCACCCTGGTGGCCTCCTCTGCAGGCATTGTATATGTGGGTACACACACAATAACCCAACCATGTTGTAAGGGAGAGAGCATGGCTTCAAAAGCCCTTGTTGTGGCACAAAAGGCAGCCTGCACTGACCTCCCTGCCTCACTTCATTGCTCAGAAGGAGCAGCTCCCACATGACTCCAGCACACAGCAATGGGCTCTTGTACTTAGAAAGTACTTGTGACTTGATTTAAACCTCTAGTAACATGAAGAGGGTGATCAGAGCAGCACAAGACGCTGAAAAGACCACTCTGGCAATATTCGCTCAAATTCATTGGGTCAAAGTAACCTTTCCGGGGTTGTTTCCAGTGTGTAACTGGAAGCCCAGCTTGTGAGCTAAAATCACAATAGCTCGTATTCACAGAGAGCTATCCGGCTGAACATCAGAGTGTGTATAGGAATGAAGTGTTGGGGTTGTAAAATTAGATGAGTCTTTCCCTATGCAAAATGTCCACTCTGGGAAAGATAGCTCCTGAGCCCTTTTGGGTATGTGCATTGCCAGCTTACAGTGGTGCTGCATGAGCTAGGGTTTTCTGGTGAAACTGCTCTGGGAGCAACCAGACCTCAGGTGTTCACAGCCAGGGGAAATACATGTTAAAACCATGACATACCCCAGGCACAGCTCTGCCTGCCCTGGGTTCGCTGGAAATCCATGGAGAGAAAATGGGGCATCATTTGCCTCGCTCTAACAGCTGAGATGAATCCAACCAAAAAAATGCTTGTCGCTCTTCTTTGGTTATTTGAATCGCACCCATACACTATTTCACTAGCAGCATGCCATGAATGATGCAGGTATTGATACTGAACCTGTGTTTGTACAGGTGTGACTGATCTGCCAGATCCTCCTGTATTCTGATTCAAATCATCATGTCATTTTTTCATAGTGCAAGCCTCTGAGGAAACAAAAGTGTTTTTACATTGCTTATGTGCCTTTACTTTGTGAGTGTTACTCATTTAGCATCCAGAAGGGCTTGAATTGGGCAAAACTATCAGGAATGCAATTCTCTTACACCATAAGGTGGGAGCTCCAAGTCTGCAGAGAGCTTTGGGTGGTGAACCTGAATCCATGTGTCACTCCAAGCACTCATGGAACATGAGGGCATTTAGGCTTGCTCTTGGTTACAAAGCTGAAATCTGGATTTAGGTCCATTAACAAGCAGCAGTAGACAGAAACACATCAGCAAACTTTACCTAGGCTATTCTAGGACAGAAATGCCCTGTCTGCATGGGGTCCAGTTCAGGGAGCAGGACTGAAGAGCACCAGATACTGGGGCAGCTAGCGATGTCCTGAGGTGTGGTGGAGGCTTTGGCAGCCAGCGACAGAGCACATGGGGCTGTGAAGGTAGGCTGGCCCTCTTTCTGCCTTGGCAGTCCCCTTCACATCAAAGCAGCCTTCCAGAAGCCCTACTGATGGTCACGGCAGGACCACAAGAGCAGCGTAAAGCTGCTTGGGCAGGGTTAGCAGTGTGCTCCAATATGGTCTTGGATTGTACCTTTCCACAAGCCAGCTGTACCTCTCAACTAAATACGTCCTAGGCAAAGCTCAGAAATGCATCTTTCGGGAGATTATTTCCATCTGCACATCACAAAGGATATATTGATTTAGCTACACTCCTGAGATCAGACTGGAAACACTGTATAGCCGGGAAGCAGACACATGTGCTGCTTATCAAAGCTATACATACGGTACAAAAGATAGCAGTGCGGAGAGCAACCAGCTCTATTTGCACCAGCACACGATCTGCTCTGTAATTCTCTAAAACAAAGGAAAAGGAAGTACCGAGTGCTACTGTTCCCAGGCTGTGCAAATGGCATGTCAGGTGCACACTGATCCCAGGAATATGAGGCATCTAAGTAGCTGACAATTGCTGTTGCTGTCAAGGATCATCCTGCAAAGCCTGTTTATTTGATTTATTTGTTTGTATTCCTTGGAGCAGCAGAGAAATGCCATAATTCATGCAATGGGAAAGGATATCATGGTAGACCTACCAAAGGAGGAAGTTGTGCCTCTTTCAGAGACACAAAGTGGAACATGTCACCCAAGCAAGGATGTATTCTCCCTGCAAGGCTCTTGCATCCATCCACAAGGAGAACAAATTACCTGTTCCTCAAAATCATGGCATCTGGGTCTGTAGAGAATGACATAATTGAGCTTAAACATTACAAAGCAAGAAAGTAAATTACTTAGATCATGCAGTGCCACTGTATGCTGGCAATGTACATACTCAAACTGCCTCGGGAGCTATCAGAGTAATGGTCATCTGTGGAGGCAGAGGTCACTCAGGTGTCTTGCAGCATTAATCCTTGCTGGTGTTCATGGGATAATGGAAAATAGGGAATGTTGCTAGAGGAAAATCATCGAATCATGAAAACATTTATGTTGGTAGAGACCTTTAAGATCATCGAGTCCAAACGTTAACCTAACACTGCCAAGCCCGCCACTAAACCATGTCCCTGAGTGCCACATCAACTCTTCTTTTCAATACCTCCAGGATATTCAGGCTTCCATCTAACCCAGGTAACAGATAGAACTAACCTAGGAAGAAAGGGTCAGTGAATCCCAAATCCACTGATGTTT